GGGGAGGGGGGGGGTGAGATTTATTAATGAAATAAGGGGAGACAAGATCTTCGATTTTCAACTAAATGAGCTCTTGCTGTAGTTTATATGTTGTTGTTGTTGCTGTTGTTGTTGTTGTTGTTGTTATTATTTTTTGTTGTTGCTGCTGCTGCTGTTTTTCTTGTTTTTCCTGTTAATGTTATTGCTATTTTTTCTTGTTGTTCCAGTTGTTTTGTTGCTGTTATCATAGTTAAGTTTTCTTGTTTTAGCTGCAGTGTTGTCAAAAACCTGGGGTAGACATGCCAAGGCTCTCCCAGCCACTCTGTTCCGCTGCTTTTTCTTTACTAAACCTTACTATCATCATTTTCCTCTACTTCTTGTGTATGTTTGTGTCTCTCTTGTGACCCGCCATTTCCGGGGTGCTTGATAGTCGAAGCAGACTTTATGCTGTTGAAACTAAAGAGGGGAGCAGTCTAAGTCTGATTCCCTGTAAGGACTTTTCTGTTGACATCCACCCCTGGGCGCTCAAATGACCTTATGCAGTTCCGAGCGCCGTAAAACCTCTACTAAAACAAAACAAAAACAAAAAGCAGTTGAAAAGCAGGGGTGTTGCCGGGGGATTTGGGGGGGGGGGCAAAAACTTCTTCTGTCTTCTTCTTCCTTATCGATTATCTACAGCCGGGGGTTTTTTTTTCTTTGAAGGGGGTGGAGTTGAGAAAGAAATGAAAGTTTGCTAATAATTTGGTAATACTCGTAATACGGGCCTAACATATCTTTGAAAGCTGTTGTAAAGTTACACGTCATGTATGTAATTAAGCTAAGCAAGTGAGACATGTACTGCCGGCGCATCTCCGATAAGACCGTATCCGTACGTCGTGTTTTACTATAGTATCCATATGACGAGGGGAACTCTGTGCCACCACTTTCCGAAGAGGAAAGTAACTCTGTAATCCGATCCGTACGCTTTGTATAGCAGTCTGTCAAAATGATTTTGTGAGAAATACTGAAAGCTTCAAAGAGATTTTCGAGCTAGAAATATTCTAAAATGTGAAGAATACAACCCCGGGGGTGCAAAATGACCCCATAGCGTACGGATAGGGTTAACACACAGAGCTCTGAAATCTGCACCAAACAAGGTTCAGTAACGTCCCATCAGGGTTTCGAGCCAGGGTCACCCCAATCACTCTCTGATATCAAATTATGAGCAAACAGCACGCCTTTTTCAAATAGGAAAATCTGCTTGGTAAACACTCAATGTAGGTGGTTAGCAGCTGCTCAGGTGTGGTATGCTCCTTAATTCTTTCCTATCACACCTGCCGTCCTTACAACTCCCCCTTCTTGCTTGTGTTTGTTATTCTCTTGTAACACAGCTAATCTTCGGCACTTATGTCACTTTATTGTGTAACAAGTGCCGTAAAACTCTTGTTAAAACTAAAACAAACAACACTCAATGATGATACTCTTTATGAGCCTTTGTGTGTGTGTGTGTGTGTGTGTGTGTGTGTGTGTGTGTGTGTGTGTGTGTGTGTGTGTGTGTGTGTGTGTGTGTGTGTGTGCGCGCGTGTGTGTGTATGTGTGTGTTTCATTTTACCTTCAAAAGCCAGATCTGAAAAAAATACAACCCCACATTTAACGTATTTCTCTACAGGAATGTTCTAACAACAAAAGCTTTACATTCTCCAGGTTTTTTTTCCTCATTGTTTGTTCGTTTATTGCATTTCTGCTGGTGTTTTTGTTGTTGTTTTTGCTTGTTTTGTTTGGGTTTTTATTGGTGTTGTGTTGTGTTGTGTTGTGTTGTGTTGTGTTGTGTTGTGTTGTGTTGTGTTGTGTTGTGTTGTGTTGTGTTGTGTTGTGTGAGTGAGTGCGTGCGCGCGCGCGCGCGCGTGTGTGTGTGTGTGTGTGTGTGTGTGTGTGTGTGTGTGTTTCATTTCACCTTCAAAAGCCAGATCTGAAAAAAATACAACCCCACATTGTGTCTGTTTAAGTTCAAGTCCTCCAAGTAACCCATTCTCAGTATACATATATTGACCTTCTGTGTATCGAGTGAAAGAAAGATTCATCAAAAATGCATTGCTTGTTTTTGTAAACAATTTATTTTCCACGAAAAGACAAGTCTCTTACAGTGATGTTCAGGTCTTTGAGTTTCCTCAATTGGATCAACATGGCTGATCGAAAGAAATGCGCTTACATTTAGAAAAGCACAGAATACAGAGAGAGATATATAAAGAGAGATACAGACAGACAGACAGACAGACAGACTGACAGACAGACAGACAGACAGACAGACAGACAGACAGACAGACAGACAGACAGACAGAACGACAGACAGATAATTTTCAAATGTCAGTGGGTTGTATGCTGATCTTTCCGCGTCATCCATCTATTCATCTAGATCTAAGTAAACTTAGTCTATCTCTGTTTCTTTTGCCTTTTGGTTTTCCGGTAAAAGAACATAATTTCATAAGGAACACATAAATTTCATGTTTATGTATACCCCCCCTCTCTCTCTCTCCCTCTCTCTCTCTCTCTCTCTCTCTCTCTCTCTCTCTCTCTCTCTGTCCCCCCCCTCTCTCTCTCTCTCTCTCCATTTCTGTGTTTCTCTCTGCTTCTATTACATCTGTTACTTCTCCTTGTTGTTTTTCTGTCCATCCTCGCCCGTGCGAGTCACATCCACGTCACGCCAGTGCCCCTCACCCACCCCCCCCTCACCCCGGGTCAAACAATGACCACTCACGGCTGCTGTGTAGTGGTATGATTATTCAGGTGGTCGTGGTTGAGCTGGCTCTGTTCCCGCTGACAGTCATCAGTGGCCTGCACCACACAATCTGCATGCACGGCCGTGCAGTTCTGGAGGGGCTCTGTTGTCGTGACGAGTGTGTATGTGTGTGTGTATGTGGGGGGAGGAGGAAGGAGGGATATGGAAAAAGGTGGTGGGATGAATATGAGGAGAGAAGATGGATAGTGCAGGGAATAGGGGAAGGAGCAAGGGCGCGGGGGAGGGGGGGTTAAGATGGTGTGGAGTGGGTGAGGATGAGGATGGACATGGGATTTTGGGTGAGTATAGGTCGAGGGGGGGGGGGGTAGCAGGGTGGGTTGAGTTGTGGTTGGGGGGAGGGGCGGGGGGGGGAGAAAATATCAGTTACTATTGATCATGCAAGTGGGGATATGGGATAGGATAACGTGGGTGGATGGGGGTGAAATGCAACATGTGAAAATACTTATGGTTATACACTATCAGAATCTGTTGGATTGTAGGATCCACCCAGGAAAGTCAAAGGACTTATGGAAAAATGCCCAGCGAAAGGAGCAGGTCACAATAGAAGGAAATGCACTCGAAAACGTTAAATCCTTTTGCTATCTTGGTAGTAAAATTGATAGAGAGGGAGGAACATGTGCTAAAATAAAGTCCCGCATTGGAAAAGCACAGGTTGCTTTCACATCTTTCAATAGGATTTGGAAGACCAGGGATGTCTCACTTCAAACAAAGCAGAGGATTTTCAATTTATTAAATTTGAAGACAGTCCTGTTGTATTGATGTTGAGACTTGGAACGCATCTCAGACGTGTATAAAAAGGATCCATATTTTCTTGAACATGTGTCTAAGAAAGTTACTGAGGATCAGATGAACAAACATGTTCACCAACGAGGAAGTGTTAAAGAAAACCAGACAGATCCCAGTCAGAGATGAGGTAGGAAGAAGGCTGTGGCGATGGATTGGATATGCTCTCAGGAAGTCAGGCAGCTGCATAACAAAGAACGTGTTGGATTGGAATCCACGGGGTAAAAGATCAAGAAGAAAACGGTGTGGAACCTGGAGAAGAATAGAGTAGAAAAGTCGTCATCACTTAACAGCTGATGAACACCTGAATAACACCCAGCCGGTCGGGGCCTAACTTACTGAGAACGGCCATTCTAGTCATTTGACAACGCCGAAAGTCGCGCTGTTTTACGGTATGATTTATTATTATTCAAGATTTCCCGATGGTTCTTTCTTTATCTGAAAATTTACAAGGCATGCAACAGCATAATGTGTACTATGAAATGTGTTACGAGCTCGTAAAAAAAAATGAAATCAACCAAAACCACCACCATTTTTGTTTCTCTTGTTTGGCAGTTTTTATAGATTCTTAATTTTGTAGCTCAACACCTTTTATGACCATATAAAAAGATATTGCTGTTTGGATTTTACGGAAAAAACGTTGATCAAAGATGCACAAAAGGCAAATTTGCAGTTTTAAGTTTTCAGTTTAAGGACACTCATGCTTTGGAAGTCACCAACCTATGGCGGACAATTTGTTCTCGATTATTTTATCTGGGACACCAGACGACCCCAACTTCCTTCAATCCTAATTATCTCGACTTCTATTTAAGGTAGATGTGTATTATTTTTCTTTAGAAAGCAAGACAAATGAACAAGTTATAAGAGTATACCAATAACTCCCTGAACCCAAAAATTGTCGAGAGCCCAATTGCACCGTGTCGTGACACAAATAATAATATGTTACAAACTTGTGTTTGTGATTTATTGTGCATGATAACTTGAAATGTACCGAAACATTGCCTTGTGCCTTTGGTCTGCTGCTGGTTAGACGTAGCATGTCGTGTACGCTACAGCAGCGAAGCTCCCTAACGGTACGGCAGCGTACTATAATAATGCACATCCCCTTAGATCCTTCTCCGAGCGTCTAGTTCAAATCCCTGGAAACATCGTCTACTCACCCTGCTGTTGGTTATTGCTGCACTCTTGGAGTCGGGCAGTGCACTTCTCACTCACGTACGTAGGACACCCCTGACTGCCAGTACTCTGTACAGCTGCAACCAGGCACGTCAGGAGGAGGAGGGGAAGCGCGGTCTGTGGAATTGTGGGATATCAGTAGGATGACGTCACATAGTCACAATAGGGCTGATGATTATGGGGATTTCGAGTTTGAGTCAAGGTTTGTGTAAATAAGATAGGATTAGTGAAGGACAAAGAGAAATGGAGAGAGCTGGTTGCCAGATGCAGTGTTGCCCCCACGGTTGCCCCAACCACGGGATAGAAGAAGAGGAAGTGAAGGTTTATGAGCAAAAATCTGAATGTCAACAAGAAATAGATAAAAAGATAAATATTACAATCAAACAAAGAATCCAGGCTGAAAACTTTGGTTGTCTTGCTGTATTTTTATGCATACACAAACTGGTTCTCATGTTACAAGGACCGATTCCCACCATGACTCGAGTACGTTCAATTTTCTAACACAGCAAAGAAGGAAATTCATAACTTTCTGCATCCACCATGAAAAGACGCAGAGACACAGCAAGACTCATTTACTCTTAGATCTTTGACAGATGGATGACGAGAGAAGACCAGGATAATAATATAGATTCTTTTTACTTGTCTGTATTATAACAATGCAGCAGAATTAAAGTGATAATGTGAGCGAATCTCCGTTGTTTGTTTCAAGTCTGGCACTTGGAGAAAGTCCTTACAATATGTGTTAGATGCATGGTTTGTCACAGATGGACGACAGACTTTGGATCAACAGGTTCTTTTCTGATACGGTAAATGAATTAGAAAATCCTAACCATCTTTTCACGACGTCAAGTGTGTGGTGTACTTATCATGATCTTCACCACCGAGTGCTAAAGAAGCGTATTTTGATTACCTAGAAGGGATCTTTCAAAATCTGAGCGCTCCCTGTTTGCCAGGATGTTGGTGTTTCAATTAGCCAGAGCTGGCACTGATAGGATCGCCAAAGCAGAATAATTGTGCCTCCAAATGATCTAAACTGTGTCAATGAGGACGTGAAACAGTGACAATCAATATCCGTATATCGTTATCTTTACGGGTTTATTGTATAATATTTTATAGCAAATTGGTACCTAAAACCCAGCCTTTATCGCCATCCTTTTTCTTGTTTCCAACCAAAGTCCTATTGGAATAATATTGCTTTCATACAATCAATGTTAAGAAGATACAGAAGAAACATTTCACATGAATCAATGCGATTATAAATAATAAATGATTTCGCTTTGAAGAAACAAACGAGCACAGGATTAAACAGTTAACAAGGAGTAGATCTAGTTCTTCATGATCTTGTCCCGACTTATCACATGATCTAACAGTTTTCTTCTTCAAGCGCCAGATCTGAAACAATCACCAGCGCACCACTCTAGAATGACAAAGTTCTATCTGCTCAGTACACGCCTGTACTATCTACCGAGGGAATTTCCTAAGATAACAACCAACATTGTTTATATTCCACCACAAGCCAATGTTAAAGTTGCCTTGGACATTTTGGTCGAAATGATTCATGAACTACAGTCTTCTTGTCCAGACGGTGTAATAATTATCACAGGGGATTTTGACATGCTTTAATTAATTTAATGCTCTTTAACTTCTGCCCTCCCCACTTTCCATCAATATGTTAATGTACCAATCCGTGAGGACAAAACTGTTGGCCATTGTTATTTAAATGTTTCTAATGCTTACAAATGTATCTCTCTACCTCCAATAGGAAACTCTGATCATTGCATATCTTTTTTATAACCAAAGTACAAACCTAAATGAAAATCTTCACAGCTATTTAAAAAAGTTGTCGCCATCTGGATTGAAGAAAACAAGGAAAGCATGAGAGGATGCTTTGAATGTACAAATTGGAATGTTTTTAAAGATTTATATAATAATATAGATGAATTATGTGAGACTATCGCTGGTTACATCAGGTTTTGTGAAGAACTACATTCATCTAAAAAAGAAATTATCTACTACCCAAATAACAAGCCATGGGTTAGCAAGGAGTTAATATCAAATGAGAAGAGGAAGGCATTCAAACTGAAAGACCGAGACAAATTGAAAACAACAAATAATATATTAAAGAAAGAAATAAGAGAGTGTAACCATGTTTAAAAAGAAAAGTTAGAACAGCATTTTACTTCTAACAACACGAAAATGACTTGGCAATGTTTAAAAACTATAGTTGGAGACGCACCAAGACAGACAAACATTCCTACAAATGACACCAACCCTTGGCAGTATGTTTACAAACTGAATTATTTTTATGCTCGTTTTGACAACCATGATTTCTCCGACCAGCTGACAATTTACTCTCAAAGAGACGATTCAAAGTGACTGCACAGACGACAACAACAATACAGACGAAGGCACGGACATTTTTGTGGTGAATGTTAATGAGGTCAAGATCATGTTCAATCCTCTGAGAGCTCACACAGCGAGTGGACACGACTTAGTAAAAAGTAAAATTGGTCACTTTTCAGGACAAGCGAATTAACCCAGATTTCGGGAGTTTCCAGAAATCTTGACCTACACCAAAGGTGGGCATTGCCCTACCTATAGGAGAAGTTTGGTTTCTTAGGTGTGAATTTTTTTCTGGTTACAAAGAAAACTGTCCTTGTCTTTTAAAGAAACTGAACAAGGGGAAAAAAGTTCTTCGATTTTCTCAAAACAGCGTTTTTCGGGAGAGTCTCTTGTGTTTAAAAGCATCAATTATGAAAATGTGGTTTACTCAGTTATCTCTCTAATTTGCACTGATAATTTTATCATATCTTTGAAAGAACGAATAATACCACTCTCGTGGAAATGCTCTGAAATAATTCCTGTCCTAAAGAAACAATCAATACTAAATTTGAATTACCGAAGACCAGTGGCTTTAACATCAGTCCTTATGAAATGTTTTAAAAACTTGTTCTGAAAGAATTGAGGAAATCAAGAGAAGACATACAGGATAACATGCAATGTGCTTATCGTGCCCAGAGAAGCGAAGAGTATGCTATTCTCGTGTTCTTAGATAACCTCTACAAAAACATAGTCACACCATGAATTTTTTTGTTTGATACTTTTGTTGATTTTTTCATCTGCCTTCAACACAATCCAGCTCCACATAATGGTTTCAAAATTAACTAACGTGAACATAAACAAGAACATTATAGAGTGGATTCTTGGGTTCTTGACCAATCGCCCTCAATATGTAAAATTAAATGGTGTAAACTTCGATCTAATGTTCGCTAACACCGGTGTGCCCAAAGGTTGTGTAATCTCCCCTGTCTTGTTTACGATCTACACCAACGACTGTACTTTTTTGATAACTAAAACATCAAACTAGTAAATTTGCAGATGAGCCCACTCCACAAGGCCTTATAACAACAAATAAGATGCTGTAAATGTATTCACACATTTATGTGATATCCATTTTCTTTGGCTAAAAATAAAAAGAAAAATTAATTGATAATAGACTTTAGAGTAAAAAAAGACCAATTGCAACCACTATCTATTAAAGATGAGGAACTGGAGGTTGTAAGCTCTTACAAATATCTTGGAATAACAATTGCTAACAGGCTTGACTGGCATACCCACGCTGCTCTTGTGCATAAACAGATAAATAAAAAAAATGTTTTAACGAAATTAAGAAGTCTTCGTGTTGATAATAAGATAATGTCCCTTTTATACCTTTCTGTAATTGAAAGTGTGTTACTATTGTGTTTGCTGCTGGGCTGGGGATTGTAGGGTGAAAAAAAAAGACAGAACGTTTAAGAAAGCCAGCAAGATCTCTGGATATCAGTTTACTAGAATTGATGAAATTTTGTTTAAAACTACAAGTATAAAAAGATAAACAGCATTATAAATGCCCCGTCACACCCTCTATTCACACCTAATTGTAAGATCACGCAGCAGCAGATACACACCTTTAAAAACAAAGAAAGAAACGTACAAAAAAGGTATTTTACCATCGAGTTTTGGGCTACGGTCAAAATAAACATCAATGTGTATTGCTTTTTCGAGTATGTATCTATATAGCTCTTAAAGGACTTGTAATTAAGTTCCTGCATGTCGCTGAATGGTGCATCTGGTGTAATAATATGTATGCTACTCAGCTTTATTTTTCTTCTCATATTGAATTTAAATGGCGGGAGTAAAAGATCAATTAAAATTCCTAGGTGTATATCTGCATGTGTGTTTTTACGGAACTGCCAAGAAAGATTTCCCTCTAGGACAGTTAAGTATGATCTATCTTACCTCATCTTATCTTATTTGTCTCTCCCTGATTACTTTTATGAGTAACCGCCCCACGCCGTGCTCTTTTAGTGCTACCCCATTCGATGTCTCGGTCTCTAACAGTATAAGTGTATCATTACCTGCACATGTATCAGTACAGTAGCAAATCTTATATTTCATACCCTCGAGTCTCACCTGCACGACTTTTACATAAGAAAGTCTTTTCAAAAGAATTTAAAAAAAAAACTTTTGATAGAATTCCCGAATGCGTTCCATTTTTAAAGTTATTAACGCTATTTAATCAATTGTGTCCATAATACAGAAACAATAGTTTACGTCTGAAGTTAACAAACAATTTTTTTCTATTTGTGCTTGTAAATCAATTACATGTAATTTAACATTGCAGCACTAGGACAATAGAAGTATAGAAGTAATTTTACCTTCATGGTGGTAATGTCAAAGGAGCAAAGCTGTGACTTCAAAACTTGACTGTCTCAACAGGAAAATGGTACACAGCTCTCGGAAATACTTCCCTTTTATAGTGGTTTGCCCTTGGTTCAACAAACACTGAGCTTTGAACAAGCATATTACGAGTATAAATTTGTCCACATTGATTAAAAAGACAATAAGTAGGCAGCGGATACAGCGAGCACGGGGGGGGGGGGGGGGGGTGGAGGGGGGGGGGGGCAAAAAAAAAAAGTTAAAAAAAGGTTCCCCCCCTTTAAGGGGATGAAAATGCCCAGACTCAAATAAAAGACAATCAATGTAGTAAAAAAAAAAAAGTAATTTTAGTCGCTAGCGAAGACACTCTTGTTTTGCAAGTCGTGAGCTTACGTCACTGGTTTTTTAAGACATTGGCGTAAATCATCCTTACTTGAGTTACCCAGGTGACTTAATCGTTAAGCCAATTAGGGCAGGGGTTTTCTTTTTTTATCTTGTAGTTGTTGTTGTTCTTCTTCCCCTGCCCGTGTTGCTTTCTCGAGTTTTGATCTTGTTCTTGTTCGTTTTCTTTTTGTTTTTCTCTGCGCACGCGCGCGTGTGTGAGTGTGTGTGTGTGTGTGTGTGTGTGTGTGTGTGTGTGTGTGTGTGTGTGTGTGTGTGTGTGTGTGTGTATGTGTGTGTGAGAGAGAGAGAGAGAGAGTGAGAGAGAGAGAGAGAGCGAGAGAGATAGCGAGAGAGAGAGAAAGAAAGACAGAGAGAAAGAGAGAGAGAAAGAGAGAAAAAGAGTGTGTGTGTGTGAGAGAGAGAGAGAGAAAGAGAGAGAGACAGAGAGATAGATAGATAGATAGATAGATAGAGAGAGAGAAAGAGAGAGAGAGAGAGAGAGAGAGAGAGAGTGTGTGGGTGTGTGTGGGTGTGTGTTTTGTTCTTTTTGTGTTTTTGGTTTTTGTTGTCTTTTTTTGGGGGGGAGGGGGGGGGGGAGGACAGTTGGATAAAACAAAAACTTCCATAAAGTGGCCCTAAAAAAGATTTTTTGCCACACGTAAAGAGATCATGAATCATATTTTTTCCCTTTGACAACTCTCTTTTTTTGGTCTTTGTATCCCTTAAAATTATGTGTTTTTGATAGACCGTTAAGCGTCTTTTTTCTAGCCTTTGTGCCCCTGTGAGTTTATTTTAAAAAATGCCGTATCTTCTCGTCAATAACACGACCTCGTGTAAAATACAGGGGAAACACCCAATATGTTTAGAGAGCGCGTACAATACTGGGTGCCTTTTTGACATTCTGAAAAGTGGTTGGGGCCAGCGTGCATGAAATCGAGTACATAATATTGTACTAGTCGGGCGTCAGAATTAAATGTTATTATTATATTACTGTCTTGCTTACTCTTAAGAACTGTTCGTTGTCGCTCCCTCTGATGCGAGGGTATACAATATATGTCACGACTCGGTGGAATCAGGCTCTCGTCAATTTTGGGGCAAGTAGAATTAATGGCATCATCTTAAAGCTTGTTTATATGGAAGAAAAAAATATCCATTTATCTTGAAAAGAAGTCAAGATATTTGTGAATGAAGGAGGTGTGGATCACCTGGTTTCAGAGGTAAAGCTAGTTAGAAAATGTCCGCCAAAGATGAGTGATTTCCTTAGCTTGAGAGGGTTAAGTTTACATTTTTTGTGCCTTTAATCATGGGTTTTCAGTGTATTCACGCAGAAATGTGTTCTTTGATGGGCATGAAAGGTGATGAGCCAAAAAACGAAAATTCAATAAAAATTCACGGATCTTCAGAAACATGCCAGTTTCTTCACTTTGATTATTTTGAAGAGTGCCTGATTTCCCCATCCTGCCTCATATATTATTCGTCAAAATTGTGGCCTCTCGACTCGGGTTCGGGGATCCTGTATCGGAATCTCGGCAAGTTTAATAAGACGCGAAAAGAATAAATAGTATTAGGGGTAAATGATCAGGGAGTAGAAGTCTGCATTTTTAAAGCCCAAAACCTGTTTGTCAACCTGCTACCTACAACCCGCTTACGAATACCCCAACATACCTGCCACTGTACTGTCTACCCACTTAGGCCCGATAGATTAGGCTAACACTAACAATGTCACCTTAGCAGAGACCGAGCCCACCATTTTGGAATTTCACGGTGACATTAAAGATGGTTCAAGTATGGAACAGGATAGAGGATGCCCACTTTCATCGTGACTCACTGGAGCAGAGGAAGATAGGACTAACGCTAACATTACTTAAACGTTATCACACATCATCACTCGATCATCACCACCATTATTTCTAAAATCATCATTGTGATCAGATCATTAACATACATCGATATTCCGTGAATCTGTATCTGTAACAGTCACATGTTATACTATGTATGTACGTAATACACTATTGGACTCTTATCATACGCACTTTTTTCTACTAATCAGAGGGCGTCAATCTCATATAAATGGGTAAGGGACCCCCCCCCCCCCACACACACACACTCACACACATATAAGCTAAGGCAGACAATCTTAGAACGATGATAATGTGTATATTAATATTAAGATCCAGATCCACCCTGAATCAGCAGGTAGGGCTTTATATATATCCTATTCGACATTATTTTCTCTTTGTTGGACCCGATCCTGGCAGTAATTTACACGTTACATGCGAGCTGTGAGGAACTCCATTTTTAGATAGATTCCTCGTATAAAGGCGAGTATTATGATAACAAATAATAATGAATTGCTTCTGCATAGCATTTTTCTAGTAGTAAAGAGCTCGATGGACTCCTCCCCACTCTCTCTCTCTCTCTCTCTCTCTCTCTCTCTCTCTCTCTCTCTCCTTCTCTCCCTCTCACTCTCTCCTTCTCTCTTTCACCCTCCCTCTCTATCACATACGCACACACACACACACACACACACACACACACACACACACACACACACACACACACACACACACACACACACACACACACACACACACACACACACACACACAATACATACACAAACATTTTCAGCTTCCTGGGAAGCCTATAGTGCAAGCATCTGATTAAGCGCCCAAACACTAACAAACTGACAAGATCATTAATTGCCGTCTTTAGCTGGGAACCCATTCCCATCTGGGTGAAGTGAGGACAATTGATGTACAGTGCCTTTCCAAAAGACGAAAGGTGGGGCCCTAGACGGGATTAGAACCCACGATCTTACGGTTATAAATCTGAGAGCCTAACCACTAGGCCACAGACACTATAATTTCTGCGAACAAGGATTTGGAATTACATACACGCAGTTGTAAATTTACTTCTTGTTGGACATCTACTATATATTTGGCAACTTGGAAACACATGTGTTACTTTTCCCATAAAGCTACAGAGTTGAAAGTTGGCAAGTACCTGCAAAAAGATAGATAGGTCCCCATGACAGAGCCCGATTTTTTATTTATTGATTTGCTGAATTTAGGAAAACATATTTGACAAAAAGTTCCCGTTCTTCTTTGGCCTTTGGGATAATTCCACTGAGAAAAGAAACAACTGTGCGTAGCTGTCCTTCACGGCGGAAGTGCCGGAAGTGATATTTCGGGAGGCGCATTTTGTTTTGAGAGTATAGATCTAGACCTTCTATTTTTTTCATCTCAGAAGATTTATTGCTTCATTCCAGTAGAGTGTAAATATAGTAGGCCAATGACTTTCAGTTGATGTTAAAGCACCGATCATTCTTTTCAACGAAAGGTGCCCAGCTAGTTGTACATAAAACTCTATGATTAGTTACAGTACTTTAGTGGCCTTAATTCTTAAAAACATTATCAATTGCTCTCGCAGTCTGTGCCTTTATCACTTTTGAGAACGTGGAGTTTCACTTTGTTAAAAACGCATCACTATACTATACAATAAAGAAATTATACTAAACCCATGCAGTGAGCAGGTTCTGATGATTTCGAACACTTTTTTTCAGCAGAGGGTAAGCCAGATCAAAATCTGGTACAATTAAAATAACCTGAATCGTTCATCGAAACTCGATTTCATTGGAAAACAAGGACTTACAGCCAAAAAAGATTCGAGAAGGGTCCCAAACTGTAATGTCGACACCGACACGGACAGAGTAAAACCTGTGATACTCTGACCACGAACGAAAGAAAGCTAGCAAAGACGTGGGAAGAACTACGAAAAATATAAGAAAACTGGAAGATCCAGACATCAAGAAAGCAATTGAGGATGACATCACCAAGGAGTAAACTAAGCTGTCACCTAAGGTCAAAGTTGTAGAAGAAGAGTGGCAAACATGGAGAAATTCCTTATTAAAAATTGACTGTAAAACAATTCTGAGAGTAAGTCAATAGGCGAAAAGAAAGGCAGAATAACATGCTGGCGAAATGATAAAAATATATAGGATCGATCAAATTGAAAAAGAAACTAGCTAAAACATGGAAGGATTCAAAATCCGAAGAAGACTATACAACATAATATTGGAAAGCGGGAAAGAGACAAAAATAAGTATCAAAAACTGCTTGAGAATTTGCTGGGGAATTATATGGCGAGAAACTGATTGCCATTTATGGGGAACAACCTAGAGATTCCAATGGAAATATAATAGTTTTCGGATAAGGAAAGAATCAGAAACTCGATACGCAACTTACACGACGAAGAAGAAAAGGTATTCTCCGCAAGGAATCTATAAAGACAACATGAAGAAAATACTTTCAAGAACATCTCAATCCAGTTGTTCGTCACAGATAAACGGACAACAAGGAGAATTCAAACCAGCATATTTTAAAGACAAGATAAGATAATACTATATTGTACCGAAGGGACATTTTTCTTGGCTGTACAGGACCTTAAAACAAGAGTAGATATACATACAAATTTTAATTACACATTTCTGTCATTAAAATGTAATACAAAAAGAACAGTAGCGGACAAATTTATGTACATATCTCATCAGATGCACCATTCAACCACATGCAGGAATTTACAAGACCCCTAGTGTTACATAGACACGTTCTCGAAAAAGCAATACACATTCACGTTTATTCTAACCGTGGCCTTCTACTAGCT